AATCCAGCAGAAGACTGGGATGTGGCACATGATAAACAGACTCTTTGATTTTTTTACGTGATCAATGATTTCACTGGCCAGATTCTGATCAGTGAATCTTTTTTTGAAGTACTCCTCCTTTTGTGCATCATTGAATCCTCTGACCTCTGTTACCCGATCGATACAGTCAGGAGGAATCTTACTGGCAGCTGCTGGTCTGGTGGTGATCCAGATGAGAGCAGAAGGAAGCAGATTTCCCTTGATGAGGTTAGTTAGGAGAACATCCAGAGAGGCTGGTGACGATACATCAGACCATGTCTCATTACCGTCAAAGTTCAGAGGAAGACGACATTCATCCAAACCATCAAGAATGAACAGGACTTGGAATTTATCATTTCTTGTAAGGTTCAGTCCTTTTGTCTCTGGGAAAAACTGACTTACAAGACTCATCAGACTTTGTTTTTCTTTCTCCTTTAAGTTCATCTCCCGGAAAGGAAGAGGAAATATGAAGCTGATATCTTGATTTTCTTTTCCTTCAGCCCAATCCATAATAAACTTTTGCACAGAGACTGATTTTCCAATGCCAGAAACTCCTTTTGTCAGTACCGTTCTGATCTGCTTGTCTTGTTCAGATGCTTTGAACAAATTTTTGCATTCAACCTGTATCTCTTGTGTTTCATGACGCCTGGAAGCAACTTCAATCTGTCTTACCTCATGTTCAGTATTGATCTGTTCACTACCAGCCTGAGTGATATAGAGATCTGTGTAGATGTTATTCAGAAGTGTAGAGTCACCATGCTTTGCAATTCCTTCAAACACACATTGATACTTTTTCTTCAGGTTCGATTTAAGTTGTCGTTGATGAATGAAGACCAGCTCATCTAAACAAACGCAACAAAAACATTTGATCCTACTTTTCTTTCCTCATTTTATAAGTGACAGTATGACAGATGCTCATGAGCCTCTTACCTTTTAGATTGTCTGCAAGTTTATCTTGCTTCATACTTTTTAGGAAGTAAAGTGTGATATCAAGTGCTGCTTCTTTGACACTGCACATGTCCTCTGTAAAGTCCTGAACAAAGTACTGTGTGTTCTCTTTTTTTAACATTTTCTTAAACCTTTTCAGCTCATTCTTCAGAAATGCAATTATTTTGTACTCAAGGTCCTAAAATCAAAGCATAAAAACAAAGATTACAACAATAAAATGTAATTAAATCTTACATCCACATATGAACATGAGGTTAAACAAGTTACAGACAGGCAGCAGTAAAAAGCATTTAAAAAAAAAGCTGTGATAATGTGAGAAATTTAACTACAAAATAGCAATGGAATGGTATAGACGAAAAATTACATTTTTAGAACATCAGTATCTAATATAATTTTAGAACATCAGTTATCATGGGTTACCATCAGTTATCATATCAAACTTTATGCAGTCATTTTAAGTAAAATTATTGAAAGTACCTTGAAAAATTTCAAACCAGTGTTTTCCCTATATGCAATTTAGCAGGCACACTGCCACTACTGATTTATGAGCATTGCTGCTGCAATTTCACATGACTCATTGATTATATTGATGCAACACTGAATGTTAGTAAACTTAGAAAAAAGCAGTAAAAAAAAAAAAAGAAGTAACAATTACCAGAATTGAGTTAGGGAAAATGAACATTTCCAAATGTCCATATGACTGTATATTATTTTGTATATGACTGTATATCATGCATAGCTGCAAAGTTGCTAAATATTGTTTGCATATAACTGTAACTTTAACTAAGGTTTTAATTGAATCATTTTCTTAAGTAATTTAAGTTAGAATAGATTGTGTGTATCTTCCTACTGATAACAGCACAAGACATGCCGATATGAAAGCTGTAGAGGTTGTTTTTATGAGATATTCCTCCACCAACACGAAAAAGAGTTTAACTTTATTTAATAATATAAACAATATTTTTCCCCACCTGTAAGATCCAGACAAGACTTTCTCTTAAATCCTTTTTGAGGCGGTAATTCTGGAAGTCTGATTTCTCATATTGAATCCTGTTAGCAAAATAATTTCCGATATTAGAGAAATCTGTAAAAAGTTTTTTTTTTTTTTTGCAAACAAATCCATTCTCAACATCAGTATAATTGTATTTTGTTTTCTCTTTTTGTTTATTTCACGAAAGCACACACAAATGCCCTTAATCTCTGAAAAACTGACTGACAACATCACATATGAATGACAGAAAATGTCAGAAGGTCGCAGCCAAAGTCAACATCATCATCACTCAACTGACATGACAAAACAAATTATGTCTTTTGAGGGACATGTATTTCTTTTGATCCTTTTGGTTTATTGGATGCAAAGTATTTTAAAGGGGTCATATGATGTTGCTAAAAAGAACATTATTTTGTGTATTTGGTGTAATAAAATGTGTTTATGCGGTTTAAGGTTAAAAAAACACATTATTTTCCACATAATGTACATTATTTTTTCTCTTCTATGCCCCGCCTTTCTGAAACGTGTAAATTTTTACAAAGCTCATCGGTTTGAAAAGCAAGGTGTGCTCTGATTGGCCAGCTATCCAGTGCGTTGTGATTGGCCGAATACCTCAAGCGTGTGACGGAAATGTTACGCCCCTTACCATACTGTGATGCCGTGTCCCGCTGCGATGAGACAAAACCAATAAAACCCATTACAAACGAGGCATTTGTTGCATCCAGTGGGGACATAATTACGCATTATAATGACTTATACTGTCTTTTT